TTGCATAGTAATTTTCGTGAACCACTCTTTCCTTATTGACATCTGTTATTTTGGAACAACCTAAAACAAATATATCCAAATAAACTATTTCAAATAGCAAATAAACTATTAAAGGTACATTATTGAATATTACCACTTGAACATTTGTGTCTTTTAATAAAGTTCGTTTTTGGAATATTTTTAGATAATAGAAATGAGGCTATGAGAGCCAGAGTTGGTTAACCCCAAATATATCCAAATGGATTTACATAAACTAAGAATATATGCGTTTTTTTGAAATTTTATAAAGTTAAAACATGATGCCAAAAGGTAGTCATTGTTTACAAATCATTAACTAATAACAAAAAACTCGAAGAACTTGCAGTATATTTAACAAAAATATAAAAAAACCGTAAAATAGTTTCGAAACACAATTCAGATTTCCGCTTTAATCTGTGCTTTCTAAAAATTGCAAAGCAAAACAGACGTTGATGAAGGTGTTAAATATTTGCTGTCTTTTTTACAAAAATATAAAAATTTAAACTTTTTTTTGTGGATTAGACCGCTTTTGCAAGTGTGCCCTTCAAAATTTTAATAGGAATGTGGATTAGACCTGGAGTACAATACAATTAAACAATATCAATGTTGAAAATATGCTTTATTTAAAAATAAAGTAAAAAAAATACTTAATCTTCATCATTAATGAACTCTTCTTCTTGGTTGGGCAAGATTTATTTGTTAAAATTGTGCTCGATATTTGCCTTTAATTTTCAAAGTTCTTAATAAAATGTTTTGACCACGTCAAACCTTATCGAACATCTAACGAAGTCAATCCAAAGTCTATATTAAATTTGTAATAACCTGCCAAGCGTTAATTTTTCATGGAAACCGGTTGAGGTAAAACCATTTTTATATCAACTTTATTCACTAGAGCTATCCACAGATTCCACAAGCTGTGGAGGAAAGCGAAAAGTACCACCCATTTTCTCACATTTTCATAAATATTTATGAAATTTCAAATTCATTTTGGCCATTAATATCGGTAAGTAGCTTTCCAACACAGTGGACCTTTTTAGGAAAACGTACCAATCAAATCGCCCTCACTACCACTGAAAATATTCAGGTTCTTCATCAGGTTCAGGAATCCAATTATCATCATCATCTGAGGAGTCGTTTAGTTAGATATCACTTTCTTCACTGGAATCAGACTACATTTTTTACCGTTTAATTAATTTGGTTTTTGTATGGCATTCCTTTAAACATTTCCTGTTAGCTTTACGGGGTGGTGATTTTGGTTATCCTCTGAAGTCTTCTGGACTAGCAAATATGAGAAGTTTATTATCCATAGTTGTTTGTAGCTGAAATCCTATGTTAGATGGTCCAGGTTCACTTTTTTCTGAAGTAATCTCGTCCTGACACGTTCAGTATCTGGTGTTGTCTCTTTACAAAATTGTAAGGTGGCAGGTCCATGTAATTCATAATCGATGACATCTTCCCGTTGTATCCTGTCAGATAATGCTGATGGTAAAGTCTTTGTCGTCAAAGATTAGAGAATTAAACGGATAAATTCAATTTTTCTGAAATCCTGACATATTGGAAGAAGTTAAGGATTTTGCGTGAGCTTTTCCAACACATTCGGCTATTTGGTAAATCATCATGGGAATTTCAGGATGTCGTAGGAGCTAAGAATCAATACCAGCATTGTAGTGTGCTTTAAATGGTCCAAAGACCAATATATCTATAGGCTGAATTTTGTGACTACAGTGTGGAGGTAGGGTCAAAATAGTCACAACTGCAGCTCGAGCTTTTTCGACAACTTCTTCTTTTTAGAGTTCCTGTCCGTTCCGAACGTTGGCGATCGTTCAAGCTATGATGATTTTGTTGGTTGCTATACGAAATAGCTGTGTTGAGGTCTTTCTATACCATGCTCTCAGGTTAGCAAGCCAGGATATTCTTCTTCGTCCTGGGGCTCTTTTTCCTTCAATTTTACCCTGCAAAATGCATTGGAGTAGCTCGTATTTGCCTTGATTTCTCATTATATGTCCCAAGTACTCCAGCTTACGGCTCTTCACAATGTTGACCAAATCCGCGGTTGTGTTCATCCTCCGCAGTACTTCTTCATTGGTGACTTTGTCTGTCCATGGTATCTTCAGGATTCTTCTGTATAACCATAATTCAAACGCATGAAGTTTTGATAGAGTTTTCGACAACGGCAACTGATATATGGCTTTTATGGTTGTCATATATTAGAACGGAAGGATTGTCAGGTGTCAGATTGCTAGGGGGAGGTATGTGCCGTTAGCACGAATGATTGCGCAAGTTGTCACTGAAGTTCCACGTTCGGCACTGCTACATTGACTAACTTGTTTGGAACACTTTTCAGCTCCATTTTTTCTGGAGTTTTGCACAGTGCTAGTACCCCTTTCATCAAGATTAAATATTCTAGATGAATTAGCTACTTCAGGTTTCTTTTCAAATATTTGGTGTAGATGATTTAAAAATATTTTCATATTGTGTGAGTTAAACGAAATGATTCTGCTTAAACTGTAGGCTTCCGGCTGACGAATGCTAAGATTATTTTATGTTTTACTTCTTTTTCTACACTGTGAAAAGCGTATCACTGTGTACCACATAACACTGTTACAATGTGTACCAATAATCTAACCACACTAAAAAATTTAAAACTTTACTATGCGAGTCTTTATCTTACAAATTGTGTTTTAGGTTATATTATTACATAGGCAAAATGTCATTGTAATAGTAAGAATGCCGTTAAATCGGCTGTCAATAAATAAAAAATACATACCAACTACTCTTATTAAGTTACTACAAACCTTTAAAAAAACATAAAATCCAATTATAATTTGCAAAACTTATTCCACGCACGTGAACGCTCAAAATAACATACAACTCTACCGGACAACTGTAGATTTCATAAATGCGCTTTACAAGTGCGCCAAATTTAAAAATAAATTTCGGTGTTTCACTGTGAACCATGTATCACTGTGTACCACTTTCCCCTACTTAATTGAAAATGATACAAGGCTCAACACAAAGCACAAAACTAAAGACTCTTAGTGTAGTTACTTTAAAATACCGTGGCAAAAATAAAAAAGTAGCGTCTTGCAAGAGAAAAAACTATACAACATTAAAAATATAATGAAGAGTAGATAAAACAAAAGACCTTTATGGGAGCAGAACCTGGATGAATATGTGGGACTGGAATGAGTTAAGAGTTAAGAAGTCTTTGAGAGGAAAAGGTTTCGAGGGTTCAACTAAGAAGTCTGCATTGAACGAGACAAAGAAATTCATAATTAGATAGCTAAAACAAGAAATTATCCAGATATGTAGTTATATCAAACAGATTTGTTGGTTAGGTAATTTGTTAAAAGACGAAGAAAAAAGAAAGCGTACCACCACGAAATAAACAACTAAAAATGCGCAAGGAAAAATGACAATAACAAATTAAAAAACGGCATCGATAGACAGAAAAAAGTGAAAAATAACTTTAGGAAAACTTAAATAGTGGTTAAAGGTTGATAAATGAGATTAGAGGTAATGCGAGTTGTCGATGGTTACTGAAAAAAAACTCTAAGAAATGTTTACTGATCCACATCTATAAGTACACCTGTCAAGAAATAGTATCCGGCAGTTCCAAAAAATGCTACTCTCATAGCGCCGAAGGGCTGTACATACATTATTATTTATAAAATCTTTAATCTTTTAATTTATTGAAATACAGATATTTATTTTTGTTTTTAAAATAGTTTAGAGCAAAGATTCATGAAATAAAAAATTACCTGTGATACCCATTGCATTGTCTAGTTCCCCTTTTAGAATGTTTAATACGTTTTTTACACCCTCTTCTCCATCACGCACCAGACCCCATATAACAGGCCTGCCAATAAATACCATTCTAGCTCCTAGAGCTAGAGCTTTATATACATCAGTACCATCTCTAATTCCTCCGTCCATGTATACTTCAACTCTATGCCCAACTGCTTTCGCTACCTCTGGTAAAGCTTCTATCTGAAATAATTCGTAATTGGACGTTAAAGCTACGATTTTATTTTTAGTAGTATCATATCTTACTGTTGATGGAAGACTATCTAGTTGTCTAGCACCGTGATTAGAAACAAGAATGGCAGAAGCTCCTGCATCTGCTGCTGCGATGGCATCCTCAGCTGTCAGCACACCTTTTATTACAATTGGTAATTTAGTGATGGTTGTTAACCATCTAACACAACTCCAATCGGCGTCTAGATCAGGAAGATCGATAAAACTAGATATTGTCTTCTTCTGTTCATATCTTTTAAGAAGGACAAACCTTAAACATTGGTAAATTGTGTAAAATAAAATATTATTTGGTGTATTCAAAATACATTTCAATTTATTATTATATAAATAAATATAAATATTATTTAATATATTTATTACAAAAAATGGGTGGATTTACCGTTCAGAAAATATAAAAGCGTTAAAGCAGTATTAACAGATGAAAAGATCTTAAATAAGAAAAAAAAGAATTTTTAAATATAAAAGTCTGAATTATTTCAAATTCAGACTTTTATATTTAAAAATTGTCTCTATGACTTGATTCTACCACTACTAGTGGTAGAACAGAATAATAAGCAAGTGTACAGTATACTATTACTTGTTTTAATTTTCAGTTTTCGAGTTCTAATACAGAAAGCCAGGGATGTCAACTGTAATATATGTGCATGTTTCATCTATTCCGAAAAGACATTTGATAAAGAACCACATGAAGAATAGTGCGATTCGAAAATAAACTGTTGATTTGAAAATATCTTTAGATGAATCTGATGGTAATGCAGTAAATGACTAACTTGTAAACAATATTAGATACGCAGACGATACCGTATGACTGGCAGATAGTGCGCAGGAGCTCCAAAGGTTGATGGATAATGTAGAAACACGTAATAAATAAAGCCTAAGACTAAATTGTAAGAAAACAAAAATAATAACTATTAGTAAGAGCAAATGTCCAAATTACAATAAACGATACACTGTTAGAAAGAGTGGAGAAAATATGGTATTTATTTGGGCTGTAATATTAAGGATAACGAATCATAACTACGAAATAAAATTCTCGTATTGAAAATGCCAGAAGCTCTTTAACGGTCTTAGGAAGATCCTTGCAACTTATCTTTAAGTATCAATATACGCATAAGAATTCTTAGATGTTACGTGTTTAGTGTCCTCCTCTACGGAGGAGAAAGGGTGAGTCTTACAAAAGATGTCATAAAACGATTAGAGGCATTTAAAATGTGGTGCTGCCGACGTATGTTAAGGGTCTCATTTATACACCACACAATTAATATAACTATTCTCCAGAGACTAGGAAAAGTCAAAGAAATTATTAACACCGTAAAGAACACAAAATTGGCGTACTTCGGTCATATTATGCGTAATAGTAAATAGCGACTTCTACAGTTGATTCCACAAGGCAAGATTGAAACCAAGAGGGGCCCTGGACGCAGACGTATATCCTGGCATCTTAGGATATGGACTGGTCTAACGTCAACGGAATAAGATGATTCAATGTGGTCGCCAACATCACGAGAAGATAAGCAGCTTTTGAAAAAGAAGAATCATTTAATAAATATTGTAGCTCCTATGTAAACATTTTATAACGACCTCACCAAGTCAAAAAACCATAGGTCAAATGTAAATGTTAATGTTGGCATTACACAAACTAAATTCTGAACTTAAAAGCAGCTTGTAGTGAGAAATACCTTTTTTGATCTTCCTTTAAGACGATTATATACTTAGAATCGTCACAAACTTCTAATACAGGGGTTCCCAACTAAATTTTTCCAAGGACCCCCTTCATCAAGATACTACAGTAACGAGGACCCCCACTATTTCCTAAAGACCTAAGCAAACCTAAAGTTACCTGAAAAGAGCCTAAATATGTGAAACATAAATCAAACTAATTATATTTAGGATTTATTTGTAAAAAGTACACAGTACCTGTAGTACTACTACACAAGTACATTATTAGTTTTAATTTTCACTTCTCAATTAATGAGATACTTTGAATTTAACCTTAGAATCCATTATTTCTGTAAGGTTCCAAACTTGAAACTTTCAGTCTGAAATCTGGCCGCATGTCAAGCCGATTCCTATATTTGTTTTTCATAAAGCACATGGAAGAAAATGCTTGCTCACACCGATAGGTTGTTGCAAACGGAAGGATTTTTTTTTCATGGCCTTGTCTCCAAGTTCTTTTTAATCCTTGCGTACTGTTGCCCAGAAATCTGCTGTTTTCTAGCCATTAAAAATGTCTTTCATCGTACCACAACTCGACAAATCCACAAGCTTATCTTGTTCTTCTTCTGTGAGGCCTTGGATTTTTCAATTGCTTGACAGCTGAAAGGATTTCGAATCCATTCATCTTCAGCGAAGTATATCCTAAAAGCTTGTTTAGGCTACGTTGATCTTTATCAAGTCAGGTAAACTCTGCTCTTCAGACTCCAAGAACTGTTTCAAATTAGGAAAGTTAGTGAACGACTCGTTTTCAATCGTTGCTGCCCGGCGCCCACAGCTGGCACTTTTTACCATAGCACTGATCTTATCTTCAACTTTGAACATGTCTACATTTTTCCCTTGCAAACTTAAGTTTAATACATTAAAGTGTTTAAACACGTCAGCTAAGTAGGCAGTTAAGCAAAGCCAAGAAAAATCAGTGAGAACATCTGCGTACTTGGTGTCAAGAAGAAAAACACGAACTTCATCTCTAAATTCAAAAATCTTGTCAATACCTTCCCTCGAGATAGCCTTACTTCTGTATGAATAAGAAGGTGTTCATGCTCACTGCCAATCTCTTTGCACAACAAAGAAAAAAAATCTGGATTGCATAGGTCGAGTTTTAATGTAGTTAACGATTTGAACTGGTTCGTTAAGTATCTTCTGCAAAGTTTCAGCCAATGTTTGGGCTACCAAGGTTTTACGATGAATACAACAATGTGTCCATTTCACCTCAGGAGCTACTCCTTTGACACGAGCATGAAGACCTGCTTTGTGGCCAGCCATTGATTTTGCTTCATCCGTAGACAAGCTCACACATTTTGTCCGTTCTGTGAAGTAGTTCACATGACAAATCTTTAGAATATAAATAAATAGAAATCTTTCAATATCTGGTCCTCCCACAAAAATCGAACAAAACACTACATTATTGCTTTTTTTTAATAGGTCAGTGCTTTCCTCATGAAGAATTGAATTGAAGAGCAAACATGTCGCTCATGCTTAGTCTGACCAGTAATGTATCATTAATGTTATTGGCCATATCTGAAATTCTTCTTTGGAAAGTGTTGTTAGAGAGCGGGCAGTACTTATTATGTACAGCCGCATCACTCAACATTCTCTTACATAGAATTATTGCTGATGATAGTATAAGTTTTTTCCACATTTAGCGACAAGCTGAGGTACCTCATAAGATGAAAGAGTTGCATTTTTATTTACATTTGCACCATAGTGTTTAGTAATGTTTTTATGAGATCTTTTAAGCTCTCCTAGTTTGTTTTTAAAAAAATCAAATGACTTACTCTTGTATTCTGGATGTTTTGTCTCAAGATGCCGACGGAGTTTTGCTGGCTTCATACACTCATTCGAAAGGATTTCGTAGAAAATTACACATTGAAGTAACTATCAGAGTAGCCAAAGATAATTGGTTAAGCAACAACTGTACATTTCACCTCAATTAGTTACAAAAAAAATAAATTAAAAAAAACTAAATAATGAAATACTGTGAAGTACAAAATATGAAACAAAAAATCACAAAACAAATTCTTCGCAGATCCTAATTGTTGGTCTGTGAAAACAAAAACGTAAAAATAGTCTGGTCAAATGAATTTACCAAGGCAACAATCTGTAAAACAGAAACAATAACAATATTCTACTAAAGGATCTTCTGATCTGGGATTTAAGGTTCTCATTAGATATTATTCAACAACGTATTATACTTACGGTGCATGCGGTGGCATCACAAACTCGCCTCTTAAAAATTGTCGCCTTAAACCGTACAAGGTAAAATCGACAGTTAAAACCAATGCTTCAAATCCACTTTCTTCTGCTAGTTTTGCAAAATCTTTTACCATCTCCCTAAAATATATTGATTGCTTAAGTTAAAGGGAAAATTACTTTCAAATTTCGCTGAGAAGCTATTAATTTAAAGTTGGTACGATTAAATATTCGCTATAGTGATTTATTCGGGGCAGTACACCCACCTCTTTCACTTTAGGCCCACTTGGTTCGTATGAAATGAACAATTTACCCAGAGTTGTTTTGGTATCGGTGAATTTGTTACTTTCTGCGTCACAAAAAATATAAGTTGGCATTATTTTAATGACAACGTACCTTAATTTTTATGCAATTCACTTTTATCAGTAGTAATTGTAAAGTTTTTTTTTTAATATCTTTAAAAAACGTCTATAAGTTTTCCTTGAAAAACTTACCGTTTTTCGATTATTCAACATCATATTCTTAGATGTTTGCATTTGATGATATAAAAAGCAACTTTCGAACAGCGATAACTTTTAAGTTAAGTTATTAAGTTTATGATAATAATAAAAACAAATATCTTTGTTTTATAAGCTTTAGTTAAAAACATGCTCTTTTGACGTGTAGTTTGTAAAATTGCAGTCACGAATAACTCCAAAAATAGCAACTTAAAATAAACTCCGAAGAGCATTTTTGTATTAAAATTCACTATCTTAGCGACTACCATGGTCTCCTTTAGATAAACTTTTTCCACCTCCAAGTTGGGGGGTAAACACCCCCAGAGGAAAGGCTCATATTGGCATAAAATAGATTTTGATTTTTTTAGCTATGTTCTACCTACTGTTAAAATTCCAAGCAAATCCATCCATATAAATAGAATTCTGATCATAAAAACCGTCATATCCTGGACTACAATATCACATCGCACATTTGCTTCAAAAGTGACACAATTCAAAAATGACAGAATTTGAGTTATCACTATAAACATCATCCGTAAACAAACCCACACAAATCATCAAAAGCATTTCAACTTGCATTCAAAAGTTTCCGTGAGATGGCGACTGGATTCGGTTTTGATGATTTCCCACTCGGCATTTCCCCTGCAGCATAAGTGTCACAATGTTAGTTGCGTGCCTGTTTTGGTCGCTGTTAGACGTCACGCTTACTACTAACATCGCACTATTTTTAGTTATGTCATATTTCATTATTTATTTTGTATTTTCTATTGACAATATTTTGAGTTATCACAGATTTGTTGAAAATTTGTGATAAATTAAAGTAAACTGTGTTAATTGAAATTTGTTCATTTTTGTAAATTAAAGTAAGTAAGACTTTTTAATTTGAATTATGTCACTTTTATTGATGTTATTTGTAACGAGCACAACAATAAGCAAATAAAATATTTTTATATTAGATGTTTTTTACTACACTAAACAAGGATAAACCGTTTAAAATTGTTTAAAAATTATTCAACGCTACATTCTTGTCGGCAACAGGAGTGAGAATGGTCCATTCTCAATCCATTCTCTCTCCTGTTGCCGACAAGAATATAGCGTTGAATAATTTTAAACTGTTTGTCCTTGTGTGTTATGTACAATTTATGTTTAATTTCATGTTTATTACATTCTGCGCTTCCTGGATAACCCAAATTTGACGAAATGCCCCGGATGATGCTTTAGAAAGCGAAAGTACTTGGGCAAGATTTGATTAATAAAATTGTGCTCGATATCTGCCTTTAATTTTTCAAAGTTCATTTATTCGAGCATTCAACCTTATATCAATTCTTTAATTATTAACTGGGGGCTTGATCTAGGCTTATGTAGTTGCTTCATCGTAATTGCCCAAGGTTTTATGAGAATGGTAATATTCAATGATAATGATTCAATCTTTTACTACCAGTAATAATAATTGCAGATTTCTCATCTGAAATCTATTATTTTTTCTATTCTGTCGAAGATTTTACAATATAATTCAACCATTTATTCACCTGCTTTGAAATATATACATTTGTAACCACTTCCTTCCATGTGGTGCTGCCTTTACCACCTCTTCAAAGGTAGAATTAGAATGTGAACTTAATATAAAGACGGTTTCTAAATCTTGGGCAGCTGAAAGAGATAATGAGTACGTATTACAAATTATATTTTAATACAGAATTCGGGACCAAATATACGAAAATATAACTTTACCTTTTGCAGTAGCACACTCTCCATCGCGATGTGCTAATTTATGAAAAGCTGTAGGAGATATCCCTATGGGAAATGCTACAGGCTTGCCCAAGATACTTGTGGATAAACTTCGATTGTTTACTGAGCGCATATATTTCGGTCTGATGCGATATCTAAAACATTTACGTATAATATATTATGTTATATGTACATTGTACATGATGAGACCGGTTTGAAAAATACAGAAATATTTATATTAAAAAGAATTTTGTTATTACTGTTAAAACTTAACATATTTCCAATAATCCCTTATTATTCCGTTACAATTACTATTAATAATAAGAAAACACAAAAATTATATTTTTTTATTGTCGACATTATCGATAATTAGCAAGAAAAGGATAACAGAAGGTCAAGTTCAAGAGTCACAACCTCTCTTTTGATACAAAAGTAAGAATGCTACAATGCTACGTCTTCTTTGTCCTTTTTTATGATGTTGAATCGTGGACCTTGAACAAAGATATGAGCAAAAAACTGGAAGCATTTGAGATGTGGCTATATCGGAGAATACTTAAGATCCCGTGGACTGACCAAGTCACAAATAAGGAGGTCCTTGGAAGAATGAGTAAGAACCGAGAGGTACTGACCACCATTAAATCTCGAAAGTTACAATTCTTCGAACATATTATGTGAAATGAATCCAGATATGCTCTCCTTCAAACCATACTGCAAGGAAAAATATTTGGAAAGCGAGGTCCAGGAAGAAGAAGAACATCTTGGTTAAAGAACCTCAGAATCTGGTTCAATACAACATATGTGCAGCTTTTCCGCGCTGCTGCAGATAAGATAAAGATTGCCATGATAATCGCCAACATTCGTAACATATAGGCACATCAAAAAGAAGAAGAATTGTCGACATATTTCAACTTTTTTAGGAATTACGGCCTAGATTAAATTGTATTGTAAGCTCATAGTTCAAAGTTTGTTAGTATGATAGAAGCAATAACCTCTGTGCTGTGGTATTCATTATTTGTGAGATTATAAATTGGGGATTTGAGCTCATATAAGCGTAACTCCAGAGAAGATCCTTAAATTCAAACTATCTAATGTTAGTACTATCTATACAGCTGAACTGTATGCTCTCTATCGCGCCATAGAACTAATCAATCTGACAACAAACTGCAAATATATTATCTTAACAGACTAACTTAGTGCCAAACAAAGCATCCGACAATTATATCCAAAAAACCCGCTTTTGAAAAAAATTCAAACGGTCTTTCTTCAGGCTTATATCAATCATAATGAGATAAATTTCATCTGGATACCATCCCATATTAGTCTAGGCGGGATCTGTTTTGGATTGGAAATTTTCGAGGGAAGCTATTTTTTTGCTGAAATCCCTTCAGGATATGCCCAGTATCGATAATCACGATATGCGCCAGTCGCAAACCCTGTGCTAAATTTTTTATTTAACAAAATCTGAAAACAATTGAAAATTTCTCATTTTTTTGCTCCTATTTTCATTTATAATTCGAAAAATATTGATCTTAGAGAAAAAATTATAAGTAGTTAAAAGTTTCGTTATTAAATTTTACACAATATTTTGTTAGCTAGAAATTGAAAATTTAATGGTTATTGTTGAAAAAATAGCAATAATTGAAAAAAAAGTAAAAAAAAAAATGAAGTTAATCCTTTAAATGTTTTCGACTTTCTAAACTTGACTTACAAGTTCCATATTCCGCCTAGAAAAACTTTTTAATATGTTTAAAACGTGTGCTAAATTTTGTTAAGATCGGTCGAATAGGTTTTGCATAATAATTTTTCAATTCAGCCTACTGGAAAAAAATCGCAAATTTTCAAATTCATAGTAGGCCCTAAATAAGGCCTTCAGATAGTTTCAATTTTTTTTACATATAAAGGAAGTCTCACACTTTCAAACGCTTTTTGTAAAATTCAAATCGGTTTACTAGGAAAGCCTATACATTTTTTTTTAATTATAAACATTTTTTAGGCTTATAAACAAATTAAATAACTTTACGAGCTTTAAACATATCAATTTTAAAATGTATACACTTAAAGAACATTAAAAGACGCTTCTTTTAAGAAACAAAAAGATACATTCGGCTTACTGGTTGCCGAGATATTGAAGGTCAAAGTTGGTATACATTTGCTGTGTAACCATAAGTGATAGATGGCTCGTTTTTAAACAAATACCCTCGTCTTGCCAAATACTTTTTATATGAAAAGTTTTACGTAATGCGCTTCATGGCAACATCCATAAAAAAGGCAAATAAAAAACCGTTTTCGCGTAAAATGTCGCTCGGAATCCATGAGAGGTGGTGGTGAGGGACATTCACTTTAAATGTGAATCAGCGAGTATCAAGTAGGGGACCATCACTTTGTTTAATTTCGGGTTTTGAAATATAAACAAAAGTAAAGTGCTCCAAAATCTGTAAGGGCTTGTAAAGTAAATTGTTACTTTTAGTAAACAAATATGTATTTATAAATTGTTAATAAATAATTTGAATTGTTAAAACGAAGGAAATTTTTTTTGTAAAAATCAAACATTTTAAGATAATTAACATTAAAAATAATTTATTTCTGCAGTTTTATCATAATAATGACATTATTTGATTTGAGAATATATTTTGATTCGAAAGTGACGTGTATATTGTATATTGACGTGTTCTTATACTGCTGTGTAATGCTCGAAATTGTTTTTTTTTGAGCTTGCAATTTATACATTGAAGTAAATTGTAACTTTTAGTAAACAAATATGTATTTATAAATTGTTAATAAATAATTTAAATTGTTAAAACAAAGGCGAATGAAACAAAAGTTTTCTTTTCATAAATAATCTTTATTTTGACTCAATCTTCAATAATTTTTTTAAGTCTTTTACTTTTTCTGGAAGGACAAGAATCTTCAGGATTTATTTCTTCCTCAAAACCTTTATTTTCCATTTCAATATCTTCATCCTCGATCTGTAAATTTAATGTTTCTTCTCCTTCATCTGTAGCTATATCTTGTGCCTCAAAAAAATCTAAGGAATACATCGACTCCATATTCATATCTCGTTCAACTTCTTCCAATATTTTATTGTGATCAATATTTTTACATGTTTGACCATTGCAGTGAAGACAATAGTCAGAACATTTGAGACCATGTTTGATACAACTGCATGTTTTTGTACAAAGTTTTTTACATTTGCAACTAATATTTCTGAATAATGAGTCAGGTAGTAATACTTGCTCAGTTTGTATTGGCTCAAGACCATTTTGAGTTAGTTCCCACCCCCACTCAGTAGCATTCAGGTTATTTCCAAGCCACTGCTGTACTTGGAAATATACACGAAGCGAGTGTTGCTCAGCTGCAGATTGTGTAGGTGGCAGCATGGACAATTGAAAATTATTATTTTTGCAACCTTTTTTAAAGCACAAGTAGCGAATTTTATTCAATATAAAATCGCACTTTGAGTGGCCCATATACAATGCCGATATAATTTTGCATCCGCTGCGTTTAATTTCTTCCTTAGTTGCACTTTTTTCATTAAAAATGGTTGCTTCTTGCCATATATAATTATTTGTTGAAACCAATTTAACAATTTTGCTTTTTCCTTGATAAAAAAATGCAGAGGTTGTATCACAACCAGAAAATGCGTGTAAAAAGCCCACTAAATTTTTTAACGAAGATTTCGTAGATTCACTTATTTTAAGTGCATTATTGAAAGAGTTGTAGTAATAAATTTCTTCCGATTATTTTCCTTTGCTAGGTTTCCACAAAAAAATATTTTCTATTTTCAGTTACTTTTTGTAAAAATATTACCAGAACATCAATATCCTCTGCAATTATAAAAACTGGCTTGTTATCTGAGGCTAATATATACTTGATACTCGCCGATTCACATTTGAAGTGAATGTCCCTCATCACCACCTCTCATGCATTCCGAGCGACATATTACGCGAAAAGGTTTTTTATTTGTCTTTTTTATGGATATTGCCATAAAGCGCATTACGTAAAACTTTTCATATAAAAAGTATTTGACAAGACAAGGTTATTTGTTTAAAAAGCCCTCTATCACTTATGGTTACACGGCAAATGTATGCCAACTTTGGCCTTCAATATCTCGGCAACCAGTAAGCCGAATGTATCTTTTTGTTTTTTAAAAGAAGCGTCTTTTAATGTTCTTTAAGTGTATACATTTTGAAATTGATATGTTTAAAGCTCGTAAAGTTATTTAATTTGTTTATAAGCCCAAAAAATGTTTATAACTTTCTAAAATTTCTAGGTCTCCTAGTAAACCGATTTAAATTTTACAAAAAGCGTTTGAAAGTTTGAGACTTCCTTTATATGTAAAAAAAATTACAACTATCTGAGGGCCTTATTTAGGGCCTACTATAAATTTGAAAATTTGCGATTTTTTTCCAGTAGGCTGGATTGCAAAATTATTATGCAAAACCTATCCGACCGATCTTAACAAAATTTAGCACACGTTTTAAACATATTAAAAAGTTTTTCTACGCGGAATATGGAACTTGTAAGTCAAGTTTAGAAAGTCGAAAACATTTAAAGGATTAACTTCATTTTTTTGTACTTTTTTTTCCAATTATTGCTATTTTTTCAACAATAACCATTAAATTTTCAATTTCTAGCTAACAAAATATTGTGTAAAATTTAATAGCGAAACTTTTAACCACTTATAATTTTTTCTCTAAGATCAATATTTTTCGAATTATAAATGAAAATACGAGCAAAAAAATGAGAAATTTTCAATTGTTTTCAGATTTGTTAAATAAAAAATTTAGCACAGGGTTTGCGACTGGCGCATATCGTGATTATCGATACTGGGCATATCCTGAAGGAATTCCAGCAAAAAAAATAGCTTCCCTCGAAAATTTCCATTATGGTCTGAATTTCTACAGATGCCGCCTAGTCTATATAGGAATAAAAGGCAACGAAACTGCTATAGTGCGTCTTTCGCACTATAGCAGTCACGCACGGTAGTGAGTAACGTTTTCGAAATCGTAAACACATAGGTATCAACGGATATAAAAGCCTATATAAAAAAATCAATCTTAAGTACGTGGAAAAATAAATTAAATGTGTCGAATTCAAAATTAAGACAAGTGAAATCCAGCATAGAGACATGGAATGTGTTACCTAGGAATCAAGAAGCCAAGAAATAATAATACCGCACCTCAGACTCGGACATACTAGGTTAACGCAGGATTACTTAATTAAAAAGTGCGAGCCGCCGCGATGTCAAACGTGTTAAGGATTCCACAAACCGACGCGAAACTTTCGCAACCGCAACCTATGCGGAATCGCGGCGAATCGTAAGACACGGCGACTTATGCAGGTGTTTAGACTAGTTGGGCGGAATCCGCAACGGTCGCGGCAGATCAGCGTTGTTTTCATGTAACGCTGCATGCACGGTTTTTTCCGCTGCAGTTATAGTTTCGCGTGAATTAAGATGGCTGTCACAGAAAAACTAATTGAAATTGTGAAACAATATCCTATAGTTTATGATTTAAGGGACGAAGATTATAAAAATATAAGAAAAAAGTTTCATTGGAGTTTCAAATAAATTGGAGTTTCAACAAGAACAAGAAGCAGCTGGCTTTTGCACTTCCAATTCGAATACTAGATGTTCTTCTCGGAGCAATACACAGTTAACACCAATACTTTCCTCTATATGTGTCGATACTAACAATACTGAATGTGTCCCTTACCAAGTTGTTGCTTCTGGAGCTACCTGTTTTTTTTTTCAGTTTCGGCAAGTGCCAATAGTAAAAAAAGCTTCTTCTTGTTCTTCTTCATCAGACGAAGTCATTATGTATTTGTAAGCTACGAATAAACGACTAAAAATATAAGTTGTTCACATTTGTATGGCGAACAGTCGCGTCGGGTTTCGTGCAAATGTGGCGAAGCCTTGTCCGCTACCGCTCCGCCTGCGAATGTTCCGCAACGGAAAATTCGCGTCGGTGTGGGGAATCCTTAATACAACACTAATAATTAGGCACATACTATGTGAATGTCCCCTTTACAATCAAGAACGAGTAACAATATACCAGTAAATCAAGATACCAGGAACACTTTTAGAAGCTCTAGGTGCAGATTGTAACTTCAACAATACTCTGAATTTCTTGAAAGACATTAATAAGTACCACAATATTTAATAAACCAAATTGTAATGCAGTAATTGTACGTAATCCACTAATTTTTCGCTAATGGCCATTTGGTCGATGCGATTTTCTAAATAAAAAAATATATATTCAGATTCGCAGTGGCGTGCGCAATTATTTTTTTGAAATTGGTGTAAATATTTGAAGATTTTTACAAAATTTGTCCACTTTGTTCATTAAAAATGTTATATTCTTATCAAATATACGCACATCCGTATGATAATAATATTTATGAAGCTTATAATGTTAATGGCGAAGTCAAATATTCATAAGCAAACATATAACATTATGCTATTGTATTTAAATAAGAAAATGCGTCCTTGTATTTTATGATTATTTTATACTTAAGTAATATTAATATACACAGTGAGTTTTAAAGTTTTTTTGTTGCTTTAATGTTTTCATCATCTTATCTCTCATTATCATCTACATAGATTTCTGAGTTATATTTTTAAGATTTTGCTAGAATTTTATGAAATATGTATAGTATACAGGGTGCGAAAGATAAAAGGTCAATTGGAAATATCTCGAGAACTAAAGGCATCTGAATCATGAAAATTGGAATAAAGGGGATTTGAAGAGTGACCTATTAAATGAAAATATTTTCATCTATTTGCTACTTCTGGTTATACCGGAAGTTGCTTATAACTTCGTTTTTATGTTCTTCGTGATTCTGAACATTTTTTTGTTAATATTTCTTTATACCTATTCTGAAACGTTTTTGAGTTATAATGGTTTTTATATGAAATTTACACTTTTCTACCATGTACCGCGTGGTCCAATAAGCCGATATCTCGGCCGTATATCAGAAACTATTCATATTATAACTTTGGGGAAGAAAAAATTCTTTTTTTGTGAAATATGCCCAATTATATCAAATGTTAAATATATAAACTAGAAAAAGGCCTAAATTCCGCACAAAGTTGTTCAAGTACTTTTTTTATGTTTTTCAAATAAAGGGTAGGGGAGAGTGGGAAAGTATATGTGGATAAATACCTATAACTTTGGTTGGAATCAACTGATTTTAACGAAATTAGTGTCATTAGAAAGCGTATGGATAAATTAATTTACACCTACTATAAAGTAATTGCATTTAATTTTAATTGTCATAGGTAGAGGGTACTTTCGAATAGAAAAAATTAAAATTTGTTTTTCTTCAAAATGTTTAATGAAAACAACTATTTATTGTAAATTATAAACGGAACTGGAATAAATTCGTATGAAAATGGCGCAAACCACATGTTAATAGCTTTTGTTAAACTCGAGATATGAATAAAAACGTATAAACATAAGTAAGTATAGTATTGACTCACCCTGTATTATAAATTACCTAAATTAAAAAATAAGTAAAAATTTTATAATTTTTTTACTTTTGATCTGTATTAGTATTTCCTATACCTATCACTTGCAATTTTCATTGCATTAATAAATTAACTTATACATTTTTGTTACAAAAAATTTTTTTTCGTAGACTATGTTGTGTTAATTTGCAACGTTCGTATTGTAAGTTAAACATTAAACAATTTTAAAGATGCTATTAAAAATATAGGTATTAGCTTAGTAATGTTGTTTGGGAAAGCATGTAGCCTACTTATTTCTATATTTTACATTTTTTTTACCTTCTTTACTGTACTATAATAACATCTAGTTTAATGGTATATTCTGACTTATTTGCTTTAAAATTTATTGTTTCCTGTTATTTCGTAAAATCTCATCGTTAAACTGGCTTAAACACTTAATCTTAGTTCAAATAATTTGACTTCTTTTGTTATTTTGGAAAAGTATTTCAAAGCGCCCTACAATAGCGTTGATTTATGGGATGCACTTGCCCCACGAAACGTTGACCACTTAAGCGTGGCTAGAGTACCAACAACAAATAATATCAATCGCACAAAATTAATGATCATCGCCAAAACTCCTTATTTATTCTTCAAACGATTAAAAAATATTTTCAACTTCTTATCGGATAATGTTTCTTTATTTTGCTGTGTAAATACATTTCGGCAAGACGTCAGGACATTGATTAACTCCGCTATTAAATAAACTATCTCGGTTATTTGTTACTCTTCTTCTTAAGGTGCCTTCTCCATTACTGAAGGTTCGCTATAACTAGAGCAAATTGCTCTCTATCTTGAGCTGTTCTTAGTAACGAATGTGTGTCCATACCTGTCCAGTCTCTTACGTTCTTCAACCAGGAGCATTTTCTTCTTCCTGGTCCTCTTCTTATTTCCAATTTCCCTTCCATTATAAGTCGTAGGAAGTTGTATTTTTCTCCTCTGTAAATATGTCCTCGATAACTCGTTTTTCTGTTTTTTACAATATTTAGGAGTTCTCTCTCAGTACCCATTCTTCTTAGCACCTCGTTGTTGGTCACGTGCTCTGTCCAAGAGATCTTCAGCATCCTTCGAAAAACCCACATCTCAAAGGCTTCTATACGCCTCATATTTGTCATTTCGAGAGTCCATGTTTCCACTCCGTATAGCAGTATGGAATAAATAAACCTTTTTACAAATTGGTATCGGATATCCAACGATAACGTAGAGTTTATTAGGAATTTTTTCATTCGTTGAAACTCGGACCTAGCATATTCTATACGAGCACGTATTTCGACCTCGTGGTCAAGATCGTTTGTTATCCAGCAACCAAGATACTGGAATCTTTGTACTGGTTCTATATGTTTGTTATAGATACGAGTATTAATGTCGACATTTGGTGCACGTGTAACAGCCATTACTTTTGTTTTATTTGTATTTATATTTAGTCCCAAGCTATCTCTCTCTCTCTGGTTATTACATTCAAAAGTCGTTGTAAGCCCTCAGCACTGTTCGCAATAATGAAGGTGTCGTCTGCGTATCTTAAGTTGTTTACGCATTCTCCGTTGATTTTTATTCCTTCTTCAATATTTTCGAGGGCATTTTAAAAGATCTTTTTGGAATATATATTAAATAATAGTGGAGAAAGTACACAGCCTTGACGAACTCCTCTTTTCATTGGCAATTCTGCTGTCAGACGATTGTCTATTTTGGTAGACGCCATTTGGTCCTAATATAGTTTTTTTTTAAAAGTGCTACAGTGTTATGGTCTATACGATGTTGTGTTAGGGTTTCTATGAAGTCTGTATGTTTTACTCGATCAAACGCTTTATTGTAGTCGATAAAACAGAGAAACACGTCTTTTTGCTGATCTCGGCATTTTTGTAGTAATATCTGGCCAAATAATGCCAAATAATGCCTCCCTTGTAGCAAGCCCCATACGAAATCCAAATTGATTGTCGCTCAGGTTTCTTTCGCATTCGCTGTATATTCGTTGATGTAGAATTTTGAGTAAAATTTTCAGAAAATGGCTCATTAGGCTAATCTGAACTGTGAGCATTTATTTGCTTTATTTTTCTTGGGTATAGGTATAAATGTCGATCTAAGCCAGTCTTCTGGGAAGATTCCAGTGGTATATATGTCGACCCCGAGAGATAAAATGATAATATTTTAATGGAATAAGAGACAATGTTGAAGAAAAGCAGGCAATATACCTAGATACAAACAGAAAAAGAAAACAAATTTAGCACTTGTAGTTCAGAATATCAGAAGATTCATTATTTTTCAATAAAATGCAATACAATTTATTCTTCTAAATGTACAGTTAGAATTTAGTCCATTCTGTTTGACATATTTTATAATCAAAATTAAATATCATACTTGTTAAAATGTGTTTTATTCCATTCCAAAGTCTTTTCTTCTCCAGCTCCTCCATGATAGTATTCAAAATACATACGTGATAAGTGTTTTCTTGCGTATTCTTCATAATCGTTAACACATACCAGATTTTGCACAGGTTTTGACATTTTTATTATATTTAAAAATTGCACACAGTAATTAGCCGCACTTCCAGAAAGATCTTATATTTTCAATATTTTATTAGTACTTATGTATATTTATTAGTCTTATCTGCAGAGCTGTTTTATTAATAATATATAAAATTAGCTGACTTTAGCAATTATTATCACGCTTATATCTCAACTGAGTTTTTTTGTTATGCAATTGTGTTTCTTATCAAATTTTACATAGTTTTATATAAATATGTATATTTATAGAGAACGTTTCATCTTAGAGGACTAAATACTATTTGTAGTAGGTTTTATGATAATTTTACTTATGATAAGGTCAGGATAATCAAGGGGGTATCCTGTATGAATGCGAGTACATAATGCGTGACATCAATTCAAAATTATTTTTATGATAGAGTTGACTCACCTACTACATCATAATTTGATTGAGTAGTCCACTTGCAAACACCGCTATGTGTATGAACAATTAATTTGAGTAAAGTATTGTTGTTGTTTGTTTGTGTTTAAAGAGATTAATATATAATCGGTACAAGTCAAATAAAAAACCATGTGTCAATAATAGTTTTTTTATTGAAATTTTAAAATTGAAAATAGACAGTTTTGCATGAGTAATTTTAAGTAGTTTTGCAGGAGCATTTAATCTACTCAGACAGTTATAAAACAACTAATTGCTAATAAATATAACAAATATGTCATATGCTATAGTACACAAAGAGAATATGAAATGTTTCTAATCTTAACATTAAACTTATAAATAGACTTCGGCAAATATGCATATTGCATATTTTGCATATTGTGCATATTTTATGCAAATATTTCACATTTTGGCATATTTGTATAAAAGTTTGCATAAAGTGCATAAAAGTTCAGATATTTATACTGTATTTAAAAAATTTTAAACATACCAATTTATTTCAATTCTTGTATAAAATTTTGTAGTCATTTTAATCAAGAAATGATCTAAGTACGTAATCTCTACAGGTACAAAACATTTACAATTTCAAAGAAGATCAATTTAAGTAGCCCTCAACATTATTAGAAAGTCTCGGTCACTGAGGCATTCAGTTATTGGATAATCGCTAAGGGTTCGCTCATTTGCATTTTATGATCTAATCCCCAAATCTATCTACAATTTATTGTATCTTAACAGCAGGTAAACGGCTAATAGTTTTGTTCCTAATTTAGGGATTTTCCAAAATCTCCCAGTTTATTGAATTAGGTACCTAAACATTTCTAATTTGATGCTCAGATTTGTAAATCATTTTTGTTTTGATATTCAAAGCGTAAACACTCGTTGTGCGTAACAAAAAGGAAGATTGTGATTTTATAATGCCTAAAACAACCAGTGCTTCAACTTGGATTAAACCTTATAAAGAGCTTGTCTATGGATATGGGAAAAATCTACTGTTCAGTCTGTGGCAAAATTGTAAGTATCTAATATTTTCTATTAAATATCTAATATTTCATACATACAGGGTGTTTCCAAATGACACTTACAACGTTTGACTGTAGATACTTCTCGAAAAATTGAACAAAACGATATAGTTAATGAGGGTCAAACTTATTTACTTGTCGAGATACAGGGTGTTAAAATTAAAAAAAATTAAATTCTTTTAGTTAATAACAACAATAACTTTAAAACCAATAAACGTATTTACTTGAAATTTAGTACTCGTAGGTTGTTTTTAAATGAAAAATAGCTTCCTTTAGTGAGAAAAATTGTCCATGGTACAATACAATGGTGTGTATTTAGAAAAATTTTTCACCTTTACTTTTTTTTATGAAGTCAGCTATTCTAAAACACAATTATTTTATTGTAATAGAATTAACAAAAAAATAACTTTTGTTGAATTTTAAAATAAGTTATATGATGTATTAGTGGTTAGTAACAAAAACTAATTTGTGGATTAATACTGCATTTAAAACACTTAGCGAGTGTTTTTTTTTCAAACCAGTTATTTGATTAACCAAAAACACCTTGTATATTTTTATATTTTAAAGGTTGGGTTAAAATAAAGGTTTTTATTTTTATTTATAGATAGCATGTGAGAAGAAATTTCAGATAGACCAACATGTGAGAACTGCTTCACACATTGCAAAAAAAGGAAAAATAGGAGGAAAACATCAAATTTCAATGGCTAAATGTTTCCAATCTACTTCAAAAAAATTAGATGAGCAAGAAACTTTTAATGAAGACTTGTATCGCGCATTAGTGTCTGCAAACATACCGCTTTCAAAATTAGCAAATGTAAATTTTAGTTCGTTTCTAAAAAAATATTGCAAACTTAATGTTTCAAGTGATCGGTCTCTAAGAAGAAATAATGTAAACGGGCTATACTCGTCGGTGTTAATTAATATTAAGGAAGAAATTGCAGATAATTATTTTTACATATCTGTAGACGAAACCACTGTTCCTCAGGAAAGTATATTGCTCATTTATTGATTGGTGTTCTTAAAGAAGATACCTTACCAAAATCTCATCTTATTTCATGCCAGCAACTTGAGAAAACAAATGCTTTAACAATTTCAGAGTTGCAGAGGAAATACGAAAAAAGTTTCCTCTTGTAAATACCATGATATCCAGTGTCAAAAAAGTATTTCTTAAATCTCCTATAAGAATTCAACTTTATAAAGAAATGCTACCTAACATTACTCTTCCACCACAACCTATTTTAACACGATGGGGAACATGGTTAGAAGCAGCTATTTTTTATGCAGATCATTTTGTTAAAATAAAGAACATAATTGATACGTTAACAGATGAAAGTTCCCAATCTCTTTTGGATTCTAAACAAACTTTTCAGAGTAACTTGCTTCAACAAGAACTTTCATTTATAAAATCAAATTTTAGTTTTGTTCAAAAAACAATTACTCAGTTAGAATCACCAAAACTGTCATTGTTCGAAAGTACAGCATTAATAAAAGAATTTGCGTCATGTTGTCGGAACGTTAGAGGTAATATTGGAAAAGATATTTTAAAAAAAATTGAAGCTACTATGGAAAAAAATAAAGGTTACCATATTCTTTCTGAAGTAGTCAGTGTTCTAGCTGGAAATATTTCAGAAACAATTAATTTAGAACCAAATGTTTTGGTTAGTTTGAAAAATGCTCCAGTTACATCAGTTGATGTTGAACGAAGTTTTTCCATATATAAATATATGTACTCAGACAGAAGCCACAAGTTTTTGTTAGAAAATTTTGAACACCACTTGGTCATTTATTGTTACCATAATTCTAAATAAGTTTATTCATACTTAAAAATGATGTAGTTACTTAAAATAAATGTAAATCTTAATGAATAGTAGGAAATATTTAGTTATGTACACTTTTTTTTTAAATAAAATTGTTAATATTTTACGATTTTTTTATTTATTTGTATGCATATTTTGTAACATATTTGCATATTTTCGGGTAAACACGTGCATATTTATGCGCATATTTTCTATATTTTTATTTGCATATTTGCCGAAGTCTACTTATAAATCTACGTCGTCTTGCATTATAGTATCTTCATTCAGTTTCTTCAGGAGCACTCTCACTTTGGTCCCCTTGAAGGAAACGGTACCTAATATTTGAGGCTATCGAAAGTATTCCAATCTTCACCAAAATGCTTAATGAGAAGGCCTTTTACGTCTTATAATTTTGCTGGCTTCACAGGAACTCCAACATCCATGATGGTAAGTTTCATATTTTCGAAGGATTTGCCCCTTTTACATTTCCGTAACTCAACAGCTCAGATGCATAGTGTGGCTCTCCTTTAATTGCAATTTTGTTATTTTTATCCTTTCTTAAAAATAATCTCTTAGAGGCCTTGAATTGAAAATGTCATGAACCAGGTACCTTCACTACATCTTTAAAGGTAGTTTTTAAATCATAGAAATTTAAATCGGCACTGAGCCTTAAAACCGTACCATATTTCTTAAAAATATCTAAGTATGTATCGGGTTCGACAATTACTTTAATAGATCGTATTTTTTTTTTCTATGTATCCAAAAACTCGGTCAGGGGGTAAAAAAGAATGTCCAACAATAGGGTACGTCACGGTATCTGTTTTGATGTGTCGTGGTGCTTCTGTTTTAAGCCAATAGGCCAACATTCCCTTCTTCTTCTTCTTAGAGTGCCATATCCCTACGGAACGTCGGCGACTACCATGCTTATAATATTATTATACTGATCTCGGTCTTGGGCTACGTGTAGCAATTGGTCCGCTGTCAAACCTGTCCACTGCCGCAAATTCCTCAACCAAGAGAGTTTCTTCCGTCCTATCCATTTCTTTCCGATTTACGTACCGAAGGAACTCATATCTTGGTCCTCTAATTATATGTCCTTTAATAAGACATAATATCTATATATTACTAGATATCTAGTGTACGCCTCTTAATAATATTTAATAGAGTTCGTTGATGTCCCATTCTTCGAAGGACTTCTTCGTTTCGGTTCTGCTAGTCCATGGAATTTTTAGTATCCTTCGATACAACCACATCTCAAACGCCTCGATTTTATTTATGATATCGGCGTTTAAAGTCCAAGTTTCACATCCATACAAAAGTACAGACCACACGTAACATCTTGTAAACTTTTCACGGATTTCCAAATTTAATGAGTTATTGGATAATAGAGGCTTGAATTTTTGAAATGAGTTTCTTGCCTGTTCAATTCTACATCGAATTTCGAAGGATGGATCTAGATTTTGGGTAATCCAACATCCAAGGTATTTGAATCTCTGAACTCTCTGCAGCGGTTGTTGGTTTAATATCAGTTGGGTTGTGCCGATATCCACTTTACTGGTCACCATGTATTTAGTTTTATCGATATTTATCGACAGTCCCCAATTTGTGCATTCCATGTCAACTCTATTGATTAGCTCCTGCAGATCGTCGATGTTTTCAGCTAGAATCACAGTATCGTCGGCGTACCGTATATTGTTAATTATTTCTCCTCCTATGATAATTCCTTTTTGATCTTTTAAAGCTTCTCTAAATAGATTCTCAGAATACACGTTAAAGAGGGTGGGAGATAGTATACAGCCTTGTCTTACGCCTCGTTCAATACTGATTGGCTTTGATTCTCTGTTGTTGGTATTAATAATGGCTGTTTGGTTCCAGTAAAGTTTGGCAA